TTTGGTGGTAATATTTACATTCAAGCTGGTATATGGGCTACGTCTGATCGTCGATTGAAAGAGGATATCAACGAAATCGATTTACCGTTTGAGCGATATAAGGATCTTAAATCGATTAGTTATAGCTATAAGAAAGAAGCTAAGAAAAGAGTCGTTTTGACAGCTCAAGATGTTTTGCGTGTTTGTTTAGAAGCAATTACGATGATCGAAAATCAAAATTCGAAAGATGAAGGTGAAACTCACCGGAAGAAGCATTTGAATAGACAAAAGGACTACTGTATTATAAACATGGGAACGCCTCAGATTGGCGGGACACATTGCTTAGCAGTCTCAAACAAACATAAGACTTACTTTGATTCCCTCGGCTTGCCAAGACCACGTGTGATACCAAAAGATTATTCCTGTCGCAAAGTTAATATTCAGGACCCTCGATTTAGACATTGTGGGTAGTATTGCGTCCTGTGGCTTTACTATCTACAGCACAATAAAGTAAATGGATTCTATCAGCTCTTCACAGACCAGTAATAATTTTTGCTGGATTACATAGAGATGGATCTTACAAACTTGGATTACAAGATCATCGACGAATAGGAGAATTATGACAAGTTCTTTGTGAAGGTGTTTTGTCGAGGAAAAGCTTTCTGGTGTTTTTTCATTTGCTATGATTTAGACGAGGATGCGTTTGTGTTACAGTTTGATCAATTGCTCTGTCATGAGCATCCACTTAAATATGGAGAACGCATTATGACAAGTGCCGACTGTTGCAAGTTCGAGATGTAATACAAACTTCCTTTGTTCTTATATACACAAGCAATGAATGTTGAATATATTGGAACGCACGAGCCAGAGCCAATTTGCATTGATGAGAACAGCCAACTCCTAAATCAAAGCCAGAAGTCATTGTTGAGTCAAAACTTACTTTGGATGACCTAAATCGTATTACCAAGAATACTTCTCTAGCCAAGGATTTTGTGGAAATACCAAGTCTAGAACAGTTGCTGGCTAAGTACCAGTAAGATCATTTTTTTATGATGTCATACTCTGGAGCACTCCAGTGGCAATCACATTAGCGGATTATCGTTCGAGTGTATCTGTCGATGTCGATTTCAATTAGGCATCACTGAGAAGGGTATCAAATTTGTTGAAGAAGATAAGAAAGCGGTGAGTGGGACATATGTACTTCCTGGTGTTAATAAAATTTAGCTTAATAAACGGTTATGGATGGAATTCCATCCAGCTAGTTCCAGATTGTATCTACGAGTGTGAAAATGGACCAAAGGTCAAGAAAATCTCTGGAAAGCCTCCTCGTGGTGCAACAACAGGCCGATTGGTTCTGGGCGTTAGCGCAGCATCAAACACATCAGCTGCAGGAATTTGCACGAACGGATTATTTCCAGTGATCCAAGGAGTTAGCATTGGGACGGGCATTGGCACGAGAGGCAATTCTCGACGCTGACGGAAGGGATCGAGTTGATTCAATGTACGAGTATCAAGCGGAGCACTTCCAAAACTCACTTGATCCGCAACTACCACTCGGTTTCCTGCCCGTCGATATAGAATGGCAACGCAGGCAAACGTTCCATTCA